ATATATATATATATATTAATATTAGCGGTGGCGGTAGGAATATATGATCTTCGCATAATATCGCGGCACTTTCGCTGGCATCGACGACGCGTTGTCCGGCGTGTTCCTCGGACGTCAACAGGTTAGCAGCGTTGATAGCGATGGCGCGCGAGTGCGGATCGAATCGTAGACGTTGTCACTTTGACAACGGGAAGAAGACTACGGTATCATTTGCGGCGGAATGTCGTCGGACGTGCGGCGCTTGCTGGACTTTGCACAGCGGCGTATAACGCGAGGTGTTGGTCAGTCAAATACTCATAATAGGGCGACGGCTGATAAAGGTGGCACGAGTCGTGGGGCATTGTGTATAATGAAACGACGCGGGCCGTGTCAATTACAATAAAAATTTGTTATATATATACATAATTGATGACGCACGCGTCTACGGGTTAGAAAATATTGTTGTCTACGATCGTTGAGCGGGGTGGGGCGAATGCATTACAACAGTATAGTCTCAAGGTCATACACGACGGGATACGCGACATAATAACACGTGCCGCGTGGAGTTACAAACTTACAAACAAACAACAAACAAACATACACGTGAAACTAATATAAGCGTGTTAAAAAGACATTATCATAAGTTGTAATCTTTTCATGTTTTGTGGAAATATTTAAATATAACAAAAAAATTTTACTCCATATGCAAATAATACAATAGTATTATCGCCGTACTTCATATGAAATTTTGTAGTAGAATACCAGATGATAAACGAAATTAAGCAATAATACTTTTATATTTTGTAAAAATTATTAATCATGTTAAATCAATAAAACGATCGCCTCAATGAAAATTTTATCCTTTAATTTTTTTTTTTAGAAAATTTACATAGAACAATTTTTATTTGAAACATCCATATTATAATTTTGTTGTGTTCTTTTTCATATGTATAGAAATAAATTTGAGGGGGTATGCACTAAGCATTTACGAAACTTCAAAATTCTGGGACACTAATGTAAAGATAATTCTGTGGGCATTGAATTATTTTGTAATGACAATGGCGTACTCTAACGTACAAATGATACAGTCTGTGAGATATGTGATGATGGTCCAATTAAAATTAAGGGTTTTTAATAATATATTTTAATAGTCGTCAGAGATAAATGATTCTTTTAACTGAGTAATATCTTAGAAAATTACCTCTTTGAATAATCTCTGTTTCTGTGCTTAATAGTGGTGCTTTTTTTTTTGTCACTTAAATTTTCTTTCACTTGAAATGGTGCATTCTCGCATGCTTTTATTATGTGTATTTGAATTTTTTACTGTGTATATTAAATTGTAAAAAAAAAATTTATCTATTAATAATGCCAATTTATTAATCTTTAATTATTATTATTATTATTATTAAAAAAAATAACAAGCATAGAAAAATGATATTATATCATACATATAATATGTATATTATTACATAAAATTATAACATTATTGTTACATTATAACATAAAATAATATTTTATTAAAAATATATAAAACACAATTAATAAAAAAATTAAAATTAGAACAGTCTTAAGATTCATAGTGATACGATGTTGAGATGAAAGCTAAATTATTTGATAATTTAATAAAAAAACATTAACATTAAATATCACATAATAAATAAATACAATTTAATTCAGACATTTTGGTAATGTCAACAATATACACTCCAATTTTAAAAGAAGATAAAGGCGTAACAGTTAATTCAGAACAGCTAAGGAACTGCTTTACAATTAAATAAAAAGGCTTAATTTGCGGTTGAACAATATGATTGACTATAACAAGAATATTATTATTAAGCATTTTATAGTTATCTTTTTTTTTTAAAGTATTTATAGTTGTTTTTGTTAATTCAAATGTTATTTTTTCAAAAATTTGATCATTTGTTTTAAAGAAGGGTAAATAATTTTTTGGTATAACTTCATTACTTAAGACAGGATATTGTTTATTTAGTTGAGAAGGAAGTGCATCATAATTTTTTTGTTTTTTTGTTTTTCTGTTATTCTATTAAAGATTTCTTGCAGAGGATATTTGATTGACTTAATAGATTTTTTAAGGTGTTGTAAATAGTTTTTTTATAAAAAATTTTTTTTAAAAATTCAGTATCTCTTTCATTATATTTTAAACTAGTTTCAGGACAAATTAAAATTTTAATTGCATAAGATAACAATAGAAAATGATAGTAGAACTTTTTTTTCAAGTTGCCCTTTAGAACAATTTGACCAGTATATAATAAAAAAGTTCATAGTTCAGTAGCTTTATAATCAATTTCATCTAGGACCCTTGGCAAACGGCATATCTCAGGTGGGACACGAGGTCTTAATTTTAACAATTCGTTTTTTATTTTATCTTTTTCTAATCTTATTTCTTTGTTACCCTTCACCTAAAACTCAAGTAATTTTTATACAACACCAAGGCATACATTATGCATGTAATCTAATACAATAGTATTTATGATATTAATAGGTAACTTTATTAATGGACTGTTTCCTTTATGGTCATCTTCATATTTTTTAAATCTGATGGACTCATCAGTTCTGAATGGTGCATTTAAGTCAGAATAAGTCATTCGGTGTTCTAAATATTTACCCTCATCAATACATGATGTGCAGTCAAAATAGGCATTGTGACCTTTCACATTAAGTAAAAAAGCTTTTGCAGGGGAATCACATGAAATATTTGAAATTTTTATGGTAAATAATAACCCATTTACATTTAACCCGTTATCTAACACTTCCAATATATCATTAATAAATGGATTTAAAAATTCTTCAATTAAATGAGGCTTTTGAAATCCGTGAAAAATGCCTATAGGTATATCATTTTTTTTTAACTTATTGAAATCTAAAATTGGCCATAGCTGACTTTTAGAACTTTTAGACACGGGCAGACCATCTATGCGAATACCTATATCTAGCACATGTGATTTAATATACATCTGTGCATTATTTTGAACTAAAATAGGTATCATCATATTATTTATACCTAAATGTATGTACAACCCACCAGAAATGTCAAAAATATCATGGATTTTAGGGGTTTTCATTAGTGTTCTAATATCTTTTGAAACATCTAAACCTTCGCTTTTTAATAATTGAAGCAAGCTATTACAAAAATTATGAGAAACTTTATATTTAACAAATAATAATTGTTTAATAAGGATAATATTAATTTGTATTTTGATTAGACTTAATAATCAGAAATCGTAGTGGAGCTGATGTATTTATAAGCACAGCGACTATACAAAAGCAAGTAGAAAAAGGAGTATCAGGTTAGATAATCACGTCAGAACTTTTTCCTAAGGTGCAGGCTATGTTATTTTAATTCAATAGACATTTTTCAGTCGCATTCCTCCTTTTGACTAAAATAAAATAAGATAGCTTTCTATTATATTTTATTGTAGTTGTCATCAAAGGCTACAAACATAATTAAATTTTGTTTACTACATAATATGTACTTAACGCCTAAAAATATTTAGTTTTTTAATTTAATTATTTTGGCGTATTGAAATTTAAATTTCTGTAACAAAATTTATTTAATTCAATGGAGTATTAACTAATCTGTAAACCATATTTTAAAAGCTGTGATTTTTTGTTGCTAGCTGTGGTTTGAATTGTTCAGAACTGAAAGTTATAAGAGAAATAACTAGATTTAAAAGATATGACGAAAACATAATTTTGAAATTAGTCTGAACACGAAAGTGGATAATGAAAGGTCAGCTAGTACAAAACTAGCGTGGTAGGACAAAAATAATTAGGTCACCCTTTTTATGTTATCTGAGCATTTCAAATGGGCTAACTAAAATTTTTAAGAATTTTGGTATTACTTTAGTAACAATTTAAGAGAATTAACTCTAAGGGTAAAGTATAGAAGAGTGGAAATCGGGCATTTATAAAGTATAATGTAAGAGTTGAAATAAATGTTACGGAGGATAAAAAAAAGAAACGGGTCAGTATAAAAATACAATAAGTTGATAAATCTCTTGGGGCTGAATATTTATTGACACATAATTACTCCATTAAAACTATAAAACTAATTAAAAACGTAAATGATTGCAAAGAACTTAATATAAGGGTGGTCGTAAAAATATTTAAAAATAAGATACAAATAATTGGGATCTTGGCCAACTGAAAAATTCATTATTAAACTGGTTAGTTACAATACATATGTCGTGTGAAACATTAGTGGTTTCCATCAATATATGCGCATACACACGAGTAGTGTTTGGTCGACTGGCAGTGTCGTCCATACAGTACTACATTAGTATACTACTATATTGGGTAATTTATTTTTCGAATTACCTGCTTGTCGTTATCAGTTGTTACAATCGCTATAATTATTAGTTCAATTTCTATTATCTACTGCGACCTTTAAAATAATAATTTATTTTAATATATTTAATTTGACAATTTTTTATACCTACTACTAGTGGTATTATATTTAAAGTCGTCAATTGTAGAATATTTTTAAACACCAAAAGTTACCAGGAAATGATTACTATTATTTCTATTTAAGTTATCTATTACGATATATATGCAAAAAAATATTGAGCTACTCTGATTAATTTACAATGAATAGTAATTCTAAAATTTCCTGACTGCATATTAATCTTAGTAATACAATTTTTTTAATGCTCATAGAATGTTCTATTTAATTATGTTAATTTCAAACTTGCAAATTGAGCTAAAAGTTATGGTAATAAATAAATTTTATTTTATTATAAACTTTCACAAAAATCAACTTTAATGGATTAAAAAAATAGGAAAAATATGTAATTTTTCTTATTTTTTAATAATCAAAGTCGGTATAAATTAATTTTTTTAAATTGACACGGCCACGGCGTTGTCACACGTTTGACACCCCGCGGTCGTATCAGCTCCTTCACAGCCTCCGCACCACTGTAAACCGGACTGTTACACACACGCGTTATCGCCGTTGTGTAAAGTCCAATAAATGCCCAGCGTCGAATATCCGCCGCAATAATACGTCGAGTCAGTCATCTTCGTGACACCTTTATCGCTTGTCCGCCCGTTCGTCAATCCAACCGAACCGCCACCACAGTTTCGATCATTTATACATCTATCTACAAAACCATCTCAGTGCGACTGTTCAATAATTAGTATTATTGTTACTTTTGGTTTTTCTTTTACTTTTTTTTGTGTTAACACTTTTCTTTCATTAAACGGCTTTACGCCACCTATAGAACGAACCGTTGCTGTTTTGATTTCTTTCTTCTTTTTATTACGACGTTAGTCGCTACAATATGTAAATACTTATTTTTTTATAATAAGTTATAATATTAAAAAGTGATAGAAAAAGTCTAATTAGCACATTTAAAACATTGCGAATAGTTGATTTAAAAAAGTATATTTTTGTTTCTGTTGAAATTTCCTTGTAGTCCAAGGATATAATAACTCTGTTATAAGTAACAGAAAAATTTTATTAAAATGTATTGCATCAAGCCCTTTAAATTTTTATAGGCGTTAAAAGTAAAGAAATGTACAACTACTTTATTATTTTTATAATATCTCCGTAAAAATTATAATATTCTATTGAATATCAATTTCATACTAAATTTAATTACTATAATTATTATTTATTCATATATTATAATTATAAATCAAATCACTAATCGGAATAAAATTAGGGGAATAAGAGTTGATGTTGCTTTTGAAATAATCTACCAGTTTCTTAAAACTAAACACTATCTACAGATTTGCATCAAAGCGTTTCTTATGATAGTGATTTTAATCACTGTCAGATATCATTTATACTTGTCCCTAACTATGCCACGTCCATGCTTTGTCGCGTCTCCACATGGCTATCGTTTTTTTTATGTTGTTATTCGTAGATATGCAGCACTATTTGACAGTTATGACTTTTTCACAGACATGCTTTAAAAGCGGTCGTAGTATTTCTTATAAAGGTATAAACCTTATTTTCTTAAATAGATTAAAAGTTGGAAATTAATCCAAGTAAAACAACCAGGTAAAAAAAATGTTCAAATACAAATCAATTTTTTTTTACTGAGTATTCAAATCAGCAGCCATTATGAGAATAAAATAAAAACTAATTCATATTGATAATTATTTATTATTTGTTTATAAGCCTTAAACAGTTTTGTAGTTAAAAAAACAAACTGTTGTAACTAATTTTTCATCGTTATCATCATCGTAATCATCACTACTCTCGTCTTCATCTGTCGTCTCAAATTCACTTATATCAATGTCATATGTCTCAATTTTCGATATACATTCTGATATTTCTCTTTTCTTTAATAACCATGCTAAAATAAAATAAAATAGTGTTAGTTTAAAGAAAATACTAATTTAATATTTTATATGCACCTTCATAATTCAGATTTTCTACATTTTCTAAAGGTTTTAATACATGTTCTATTATGTCTCTATTCTTGAGAACTGCTTTTATGACACTTGAAAAATCTTCTTTAGATATGAGTCCACTATTTGACGTATCTATCTCATGAAATCTTACAAGGAAATCGTTAAACAAAAACACTATTCGTTTTGGAATTTTGAAATATTTATCAGTCAAAATTTGTATGAAATTTCTAAGGCTCATATATTCAGTATCTTAAAAAAAAAAAAAAAAAATTTTAAAACAAACAATTTTTACAAACTGATCTCAATATATCAAGTAGTGTTTCTACCAAGTAACAAGTTTTAGTAATGAATGTTTTCTTTAATAGATTCAACTTAATGTCAGATTATGTGTATATTAATTTAAATTTTATTCATTACCATTGAATTTTTTCAGTTTCCCTATTATATTTGTTGTGTCCATGTCATTAATCTTTTCCAATTGTTTCCAAACATTGTATATTAAATAAAGTTTGTTTGAATCTGGCGTAATTTGCTGAATTATTGGCTCTATTTCTTTTGGTATCTTATAATTCTAGATGTTTAGAAAAAAAAATTAATCTTTTTCAAGTAAAAATTTCTATGAAACGCAAGTATTTACTATAAACCCAGTACTGAGATTTGACAGTTGCCTAACCTATACTGACACCGAACTTATTTTAGTACTGAGCTAGTATTGCAAAACATTAAAATTTGAGAGTTACAATAGAATAGAATAAGAGTACTGGTCAGTACCAAAATATGAATGTGCGCTTAGTGAATGTCTGCTGAAGAACAACGAAACGACAAAGTAAAATTAAAAAAAACTATAAATTACTTTTAATAATAATAATAAAAATATAAAATATTAATAGTTCTGGACTGTAAAAACCTTAAATATTGTTTTATTTATTTATAATAATTTGCGAATCGGGAAATATATTTCACAAAATCAAGGACACATATTTCCTTACGAGCGTTAAAACCTCTTGTGGTACATTTGTCACTTATATTACCTCGTTATCTATCTTACCCTTTCTTATCATATTATGACACCTTTTCTTGTAGATCAGTAGTATATAGAGCCCTGCGACCCACGCCACCTTTGTTAGCCATCGCCCTACTACGTGTACATGATAGTTTGGCCTAACTAACACGACGTGTGTATATCACCTTACAAAGCCGAGCAAGTGTCGCACGACCGACGATGAGTTGTTGTCGGAAATACAAGATAATTTGTTTATCTAAAATCATTCGAATAGTCGCAAAATAAATACAATATTGAAAAATAATGTGTTTTTTTTTTAGTTACTTATCTTATTTCTTGATTTGTAATCTATTAATTACTTTGTAAAATCACCCCTTATATCTTATAGAAGTGTCATGAAAGTGTTATAGAAGAAAACGCTATCTTTTCATGATTACTGTGTATACATATGATGATAATGTGTATACATTACTAACTTGGCATTAATACCATGATAAGAAATTAGATAAGGCAATTATTACTTATCACTCTCATTCATCTGTCCTTTTCTCAATACGTATATCAATGTTTAATACCGTAAAATAATACATGAAAATTCAAATTTTCACAAACTTCAAAACGCTACAGAATATTTACTACTGAATATTAATAAGATATTTTTTTACTAAAATTTTTCTTAAATTCTACTCTACAAAATAGCTATCTTAGATTTTTTTTTTTACATTTCATTTAAAATTTAAAAATAATTAATATTTTTAATAAAATGTAAAAAAATTAATTATTGAGATATAGCTATAGACCTAACGTATAACTATTATTAAAAAAAAAAATCAGCTAAAAATATTAACTGGATCAAAAGTTATTTAAGTTGTCAGTGAGTGGTGGGCCACCCTGTATAATACTCAATAATTGAGCATTCATTTTAATTAATAAGAAAATTAATGGGTGATAACATCATTTGGACAAATACTTTGGAAGTTATTGACATTTTACAGTGATAGCTGGTGTTTTTAGACTGACTTTGTGCTAAAAAAAATTTGTTTTTTTTTTTATATTTTATTTTTTGATTTTTCAGCTATTAATTACTTTGTATAATCATTCCTTATAATTTATAGAAGTATCAACTATATTTAAATACATTGTAATATATTAAATTAAATGGTTCATTATTTTATATATAATGATCTAATTAAGAAAATGACTAGTAGATAACAATAGTAATTAGTGTAATTATTAATTATCATTTATAATATTAGGACGTTAAATATGGTATCTTTTGTGCATGTATGTCACATATTATGAATTTACGAAATCACCAAAACGGATTCTTTCTTTAAAACGCAAAATAACAAGTTATCTAGGAAATTAAATCTAATTATTATACAGATTTGAAGTAACGCCTATATATGTATGTTCTCAATTAAGTCCACCAAATCGGATTTAACAATTCTAAAAGATCTAAAGCTTCTAACTAGGGATTTCTACACTACCCTCGTCTGACTATAAAAACCCAATTTTTCCTATTAAAATCAGTTCTTATAGTATTTTTAAAATACACAAAATCTACGACACTGCTCAAGAATCTTCCTCTCTGGGATTTAGTTTTCTTTTTATTTAATTAGGACTTTTAATAATTTTTTTAAAATTAAACGGAACTTGGAATAAATTTAAAGTGAATTGTATTTTGGTGTATCTTTTATTTTAAATTTATATGTTTATTAATTAATTTTATATTTCTTATCATGGAAATAAATGTCAATTATATCTATACCTCAAACATTTTGAAATTATTTTATTTTTATAATAAACCCAACCCAACTTTAAATATTCATTTAATGATAAATGTTTATTGTGAGCTAAATGTTACAATTACTTCAGATTTAAATTAATTTTATTGGACTAAGTGTATTGCAACTTTATACTTACTGTGTAGCTAGTCATTGAGCTTAATGTCTTTGTTCTAATGAAAATGGTACCGGCAAACAACACAAAGAAACTTACAAATATATTTTTAGTGTTTAATTTTTGTCTTAGTGATTATTGTGCCGCCGCATCCTTTCAAGGCGTTAGCACCAGGACCATTGGGTCACTACAATATCACCTTGATAAATCTTTTACATAGATATAAATATTTTTAAATCTTGTTTTGGTCAGGTCAGAGGAAGATTTATAAACTACTGGTGTCAATCTCTCAATAAAATATGTTCCCTCAAAAGCATACTTGTTCAACAAAATCGAATAAGGCTACATTGTTGAATTATATTTATAATTGTACGTTTCTCTACGTATCATCAATTCAGCTTATTGGCACGATATAAATGTCATTGTACATCATGATTTAATTTTGTCTACAGTGGTAGAAGAATATTTGCATGCAAATAAGAGGCAAATTTAACGAATAACATCGACTCAGTAGACAGTTAAAATTTGGGCAACTCTAAGACAACAGACGTCTTAATAAACGTCATAAACTACAGAATTAGTCTAAAATATTTAGTTTTAAATTAGGCCATAAGTGATCTCACTGGTGGTGTAACTCCACATATCTGTACTCTTTATTAATTGTGTCCACACACAATTATTGTACAATATATTTACAAATATAATTTATCGTTTGAATTGATAGTGCCATTTGGCAATTTGCATAAAAAAAAATATTGAACTTCAACCCCGTATAGACTTATACCTCAGTTTACTCTAATTATTTTTAATGAAATATTTTTATCATCCACCAGCATTATGATGTAATGATTTTTTGAAAATGATTACTTTGGCCTTTTTGAGTAACACAAGTTAAGAAAATTTTAATTTATAAAAGAACGCCTTTCAAGGTATAATCCTGGTTAAATACATAGTTTAAAGTTATCGTAAATATTATAAGGATATTTAAAAACAATATTTTGAAACAATAAACTTTTTGGGGGATTTATAGTTTAATTGTAAAATTTTTTTAAAGATAAAGTTTTTTTTTTAATTTTAACATTTCATTGCTGAATATCAATATCTTATAAATCCCATTTCAATAATTTTAAATATTATTCGCCTTTCCGAAATTTCAAAACTTTAAGATGAATTTTAACAGGATATGATGATTTATAAGTCAAACGTTAAAATGAAGGATAATTGTAAAAAAAACTGCGCTTTTTAGTAGTCGAGTGGACAAACATTGTAAAACGTGTGGCGAGTTGTCTTCAATGATCACAAAAAATAAATTTCCTTACGGTAAATCTGTGTTTTTAATAAAGATAATTGACTTATCCAATTTTGATATTTTTTTATATGAAATCTCTGACTATCTGGATATTGGATAAATTATTGACGTAGGCTAATTATGGTTGCTGGCACGCCGAGAGATTTTGAATTTAAGACGTCTATTATATTTAAATGTACATCATTTTTTTTTAAATTGTAATTAATGTTTTTTTTTGACAGTGAGATAAGGTTTTTTTCAATATTGTAGTATATTTCACAAGCTTTGATTTGCTATGAGTTAGAAAAACGTTGACTTCTGGGATAATTTTAAAAATCGAGTTCAAATAACTTTTTAGCTTCGATGCGAAGCTGAGAAGGTATTAATTTTACTATATTGGGTTCTTTTTCACAATTAATTAACTTTTTTAACTAAATTTATTAAAGTGTACGGGAAATATTGACACTTTTATATATATCCTAAATTAAAGCTTATGTAATATACTTATATAAAAAAAAAAAAAATTTCGGACTTTATTTTGTCTTCACGGTGAAAATGGCTACCGAATGCTATTTTTGTGTGAAAATACTCGATTTTATTTGTTACATTTTACATCAATACAATTTTTTTATGAGAAATAATATTTATATCCCTCTTTCATTCGACATACTTTATCTTAATCAGGATATAAATAAGAAAATAGCAGATCATGTAGCTTTTGGAATTTTTTAAAACTAAACTTTATCTAAAGATTTGCATCGAAGTGTTTTTTATGATAGTGATATTAATCACTTTTAAAGATATCATTATACTTGACCCAACTATATGCCACTTTACCACTGTGCTGCGACTACCCTGTGCTGGGTTTTTAAGTTTAAAATTAATATGTTTAATATAATGATTTTGATTAATATTGGCAACAAGTTATCAATTTAATTGTAAAATTCTATTGTTAATTATTAAAAAGGTTAGGAGATCTTACAATGATAAAGTGGTGAAAATTTCAAATCTTAGTTTAAATCAAGTTTAAATCATTAGATTATTAGACTATTTTTATGAAATACCGATTGCATAAATCTATTTTTACCTAATATTTATGTATATTTTTTTTAGCTTCGATGCGAAGCTGAGAAGGTATTGGTTTTGCTATGATGTGTTTTTTTTCACAATTAATTAACTTTTTTAACTTAATTTATTTAAATGTACGGGAAATATTGACACTTTTATATACAGGTATTCAGTAAGTCAGGAAACGGGTTTCTATTGTTCTCATTGTTACAAACAATGAGAACAATAGAAACCCGTTTCCTGACTTTTTGAACACCAACTATATCTTAAATTTGAGCTAATGTAATGTACTTTATTATGAAAAAAAAAAAATTGTCCTCTGGACTTATCTTCATGGTGAAAATGCTATTTTTGTGTGAAAATTCTCGATTTTATAATTAACATTTTTTACTTAAAAGTGCTATAACTTTTAAAAAAATGTATGGATCAATACAATTTTTTCATGAGAAGTAGTATTTATATACATCTTTCTTTCGACATACTTTTTTTTTAAATCAGACTATTTCCCTATTTACGGGCGGCCTTCAAATATAAAAAATGCATATAGAAAGTAGAACTTTTTCAACTTAACTTTTGTAAGTGTTCCGGAAGGTCTGACAGTTATATATATCTTAAATTGAAGCTTATGTAATATACTTTAATTTGAAAAAAAAAAATTTGATTTCTAGACTTGTCTTCACGAAATAAATGGCTACCGAATGCTATTTTCGTGTGAAAATTCTCGATTTTATTTTTTATAGTTTTAACTTTATAATGCTATAACTTATTGAAAAGTGTATGGATCAACAAAATTTTTTATAAGAAATAATATTTTTTAAAAATCCCTTTTTCATTTGACATACTTTATCTTAATCAAGATATTAATAAGAAAATAACAGATCATGTAGCTTTAGGAATAATCCACCAATTTTTTAAAATTAAACACTATCTAAAGATTTGCATCGAAGCGTTTTTATTGATAGTGATTTTAATCACTGTCAGATATCATTATACTTGATCCAACTAAACCATGGCATCACTGTGCCGTGGCCCCCTGTGCTGAGTTTTTAATTTTTATACTAAAAAATTCATGTGTGAAATTTAAAATAAATGATCGCTCAGTTACTTTGGATTATTTAATATGGATGTTTTTCCTAGTCTTCTGAATTTTCAATCAAGAAAATGTAGATTTTTTAAAATAGTTACATTTTATCAAATAATTGTATTTTGTTTAAAAAATCATAAATCATAATAGTTACCACCTCAACAGTTCTTATTTCTTCAATAGAAATTTCATTATTCGTTTTGAATAAAACTTCTCTAATCTAATAAAAAAATATAGAATCATTAAATTACTTTATTTATAGCGTTATAACTGTATGCAACAGATAATAAACTTTTTAGAGTTTTGTTCTTGAGGCATTATTTAAAAAAAAAATGAATCTTTTAATAATTATACATGATCTTATTCGTAAATATTATATTAATTATCATATTTGACTAATTTTAATACTATTCACTAACGAATGTGTTTATATATGAATTTATAGTACAATTATTTTTACTTAAAAGCGTACCTGTTTTTTGCCTTGTTTATTCCATTTATATTGAGTTTTTTTGAGAAATTTTTTAATACGATTATGTCTAGAATTCTAACATATAAAATATTCATTAAATATTACATTTTTTATTTTAAAAGACAAAATGTTTAATGCAAAACTTACTTCACATTTACTTATTGGTATGTATGACGAAGATACATAAACAAACATAAAAACACAATAAATTTGCCAACGCATTTTACAATTTCTTATAATTTTTTGATGAAATAAAAAATAGATTTTGATATCGTAAACAATATAGTACAAAGTATTTTTTAAATTTTAGTATATTCATTTAATTTTGAAAAAAAATTAAGTAAAATATGGGTTTATATGCTAGAAAATCGAAAAAATATTGTTTACTTTTTATATTTGTCATGTACAAACTTATCTTGAACAAATAACGTTATAATTTATAAATATAATTAACTAATTTTAATGAAATTTTAGTTTAAATATTGTAAGTGGGCTTTTTTTGTCAGCAACAACGTTGTGTCACCCCTATCGGATATGAAATTTAATTTTAATCAATAAATTAATGTGGTTAATGATTACAATACTTCGTGATTTATTAACAATAATTGTAATAGTGGAAGTTGTATGTGGTTGATATGTAAAACATACAGTAGGCTGTATTTAGATTAAATAACAAGTAATATGAGTAACAATAACACTGGTTATTGACCAGTTAAAATTTTACGTAGTATCACTTGAAAATAAAATGTGTTTAATGAAATAATGATAATTTTTAGTAGACCGAAAACACGGGCTTAAATTAAATGTTGCTTTGTCATTTTGAATGAAGTCAGAATTATAAGTTTTTATACTTATGTATTATATTTAAAACTCTACTCAAAGAAGAAGTTTGATTTAAATAAAATATAAATAGAAAGATAAACGTCTGTTGAGTAATTCATTAAAATTTCCTTGTAATCTAGTCATATAAATGTAAGTATAAATCAAAAAACGGTACACAATTTGGCGATTTTAAGGATAGTGATGTTTAGGGGTAGCTAAAAATAAGTGGGGTGTGTAAAAATTGTTTCAATCAATTGAATATATTTTTTTATTCTAAGATTTTTTTTGGATTTTTTCATAGCAATCTGGTTTATTGAAAAATTGTCTATTAAAATAATAAAAGTTTTCAATTAAGAGGAACATACTCTCATATTTCTATCGAGATGGTCCTGACTATTGGCCATTGGGGTATTTTAAGTGTATAAATAATAGATAATATATTTTAATATACTACCAAAATACAAATAAAATTTTTTTTTTTAGATTTTATTATTTGTAAATTTCATTATTTATAATTTAAATTTGATTCTGACAAAATATAATTAAAAATATACAAAAATAATAACTTAAATAAAAATATATCATAAATTGAAATAGAGCAGTGACGGAATATCTTTAAATATAATACTGTATTTTTGAAAACATTCATAAATTACATATGCTTACACAGTGATCCATCATTTCGCACCCACAATTACGAATGGTTGAAAATACTTAAAAAAAAATATATATTTATATATATATATGCATTTAAATATTTTTTATGTTTAAGTATTTATCTAAGCACACATTTGCGGATATCACTTATCCTAGTAATTTAAAAATAAAATATTCTTTATCTAATACGTTACAATCATTAAGTCACCACTTTAAAAGCGGTTTTTGAGCATAAAATGTAGAAAATAAATTTTTAATTATTTCAATGAACATATTAAAAAGAGATTATTTTTATCTAAAAAACCACCCTGGCCTTACGTCTTTGTCTTATGATAAACACATCTATTGTCCATATACTCTTGTAGATAAAAATTTTTAAAGGGCTCTAGTTACCTAAAAATATCAATAGTCCCTCTCAAATTGATGATTTTTCATCAGAAGTCCCCTCCCTCAATTTTAGCAATATTGAATTTTTAGTAGATATTTTTAGTTTCTTAGCACCATTCTCTCAGTTTCCCTTACATTTTAATTAAACAGATAGAAATTACAAAAAATTAATCTATAAATATGACAATAAACAATACGAAAACCGGTAAAATAATATACCATAAAAAATATAATAGGGTCGTTGATATTACTCATTTTAGGCAATATATATGGTCTGTAAAAATTAAAGTAATTCAATATTTTTAATACCAGTTACTTATAAATCTTGTCGGTTTTGTTAAGGTGACTTATACTGTTATGGAAAGCACAAAAGTTCTTTTTGACAACTATTGCGCTCTATTATTATTTTTAGCTTCGATGCGAAGCTGAGAAGGTATTGGTTTTACTATGATGTGTTTTTTTTTTTATTTATTTTTTTTTGTGTCCGTTACCACTTTTTCTCAGCTCTTCACCGAACGGATTTCTTTCAACGATACGTCAAAAGATCACAAATCGTATCTAGTCGAAGACTATTTCCCTATTTACGGGGGGGCATCAAATATAAAAAAATGCATATAGAAAGTAGAACTTTTTCTAGTAGTATCTATACACATCTTTCATTCGACTTACTTTTTAGCTTCGATGCGAAGCTGAGAAGGTATTAATTTTACTATGATGTGTTTTTTTAATTTCCCTATGTACGGGAATGGTTCAAATCTGAAAAATGCATATAGAAAGTAGAACTTTTTCAACTTAACTTTTGAAAGTGTTCAGGAAGGTTTGACACTTTTATATAGATCATAAATTAAAGCTAATGTAATATACTTTATTATAGAAAAAAAAATTTTTAAAATATAATTATTTTTTATATTTTTAACTTAATATATATTGCTATAACTTTTTGGAGAATGTGTGGATCAATATAATTTTTTTTGTAGATGCATGATGTCTCTACTTATCATTTGGTATATATTTTAAATAATCTGACCCTTTACCTGCCCCCAGGGGTGATTTAAAATGACAACTTTTTCACAAAAATATAACTTTTTCAACTTAACTTTTGAAAATGGTCCAAAAAGTCTGACATTTTTATATATATCTTAAATTAAAGCTAATGTACTTTATAAATATACTTTATTATGGCAAAAAAAAATTTCGGACTTTATTTTCTCTTCACGGTGAAAATAGCTACCGAAAGCTATTTTTGTGTGAAAATACTTGATTTTATTTCTTACATTTTACATTAATACAATTTTACTATGAGAAATAATATTTATATTCATTTTTTTCATTTTTTTTAATAATTTTAATATTTTCTCTTAAATATTTCAAATAATATTTTATAAAGTAATTTATATTAAATATTTTAAGTGATTAAGGGAGAAAATAAAAAATAAAAATAAGAATTAAGTTTTCAGATACAAAATTTCTCCTTAATTTATTAAAAATAAGAATAAAACTTTTATCGTTTTAAATTTTTTTTAATCCATAATTTTCGCGCAAGTGGTAAATTTTAGTAAGCAGATATTGTAGATAAGAACTTGGAATACTTATATTTGCACAGTTGGAATTCTTTTTTTATTTAATGATTTTCTTGATGTAAATAAATAATGTAAATATCCTAAAATTTAAAATCTATGTAATCAACATATTTTTTTGGCCATTAATATATTTTTTATGATAAACAAAAATTTTACTGTCGATAAACTTAAATTTATCAAAAAATAATATAACATTAATATAGTGATTCTAAGTAAAATTTTCTAGTTAATATTATATAAGATGCTGCAAATTTAACAAATGTAACTACATGCATTTAAAGGTTAATAATAAATGAGACAACGATAAATAATATTAAAACTTCTCTCATAATCCACAAAATTAGTCGGCCTATTTGGAATCTATATCTATATTAATTATAAATCTAATTGGTGTTTCATATTTTTCAACTATTAAAATATTTTAAGATGTACTTATAATATGTTGTATAATTCTGTTACTACTTTATAAGCCTCGTGATGATTATAATAATTTTTAGAACTAACTATTATACTTCTAAGTAATACATCACACTTGATGGATAGCCAGGGCTATCTATTTTATAAAAATATTTTTATTAATAGATATTTAAATTAACATTAAAAGAAAGCAATGCATACGTGTTTTATGTATTTGGTTGCTGCTGTTTTAGCAACAAACATGGGTCATATTACTTAGTAAAAACCTTATTTCATGCAAGGCCATTGATGTACAAATTTCTATATCACCACAAATAAAACTAAAAATGTTAAAGCAATGAGACTCATGACATCGATTCAGAAAATATCATACGAATAATTTTAAAAACAAAAAAAAATATACGACTATACTAATAGAAATTTATTTGGTATATCCAGTGGTGTAGTCCTAAAAATGTTTATGGATATACGCCCTTATTATGAATAGAGAATAACGTGGGGGGCTTGAATTTTTAACTTTATACGTTATCAACAGTGATATAGTCGTAATTTGATCAATGGACAAGTTAAAAACCTAAATGAGGAAACATGGGGAATTTCACCACCACACTACTTTTCAAAGGCCTTAACCATAACATAGTTTTTGGGGACGGAATACAAATATTGTGATGTTTTAACTGTGTTAAAAATATGTATTTTCTAATTATTACATAATGTAACTAAAACTCCTAACCCACCCAGATACGGCCTTGTTCCTTCCAACTTCCAAACTATTACTCGAATATTTTTACTGAAACTTCTAAGTTCTTACATAAATTAAATTTCATAGTCATATAATCGATAAGTGTATTATTAGATACTGTTATATTTTTTATAAATAAACAATAAACTTTATGCAGTAATAAAATAATCTTACAATCATTGTTTTCAAATCGTTAAAACATAAATGAAATAAACATTAGTAGGTACATGTTAGCACTATCTTAATTCATTATAGTTAATATATTAAATACTATAATAAAAATTGATCACTTGTGGCTAAGTAATTAAGTAAAATGAAAACTATATTAAAAAAAAAAAACCCAGCACAAGGAGGTGGCGGCACAGTGGGGTAGTGGCATAGTTGCGTCCAGTATAGATGATATCTGACAGTGATTAAAATCACTATCATAAAAAACGCTTCGATGCAAAAAAAAAAAAAATTTGTTAAAATAGCATATTTTTGAATATGGTAGCCATTTGCGCATAGAAGATAAGTCGTCCGGACAAATTTTTTTTTTTTATTTTATAGTACATAAAATAATCTTTAATTTGATATATGTTTAAAGGACGCAGTATTTCCGGAAAATTTTCAAAAACCAAGTTGATAAAATTATTTTTTGTTAAAAAGTTGCTATTTTAAATCCCCCCCAATGAGCAGGTTAAGTGATAGATTTTCAAA